GGAAATGTCTGTGCCTGTGCATAAATACAATGTGTGATCAGTGCGTCAAGAGCACTCATACACGCATTAATATAACGGACTCACTGTATTACTGTATGACTCCTGTACGCCACCGCAATCATCTTTACCTTGATTGCAGTCTTCATTCATCAAAACTTTACTAGCGAGACTGGTTATCCAGTCGAGAAAACATAGTTTGCGTCTCATCTGGCGAGACAGTGGTGGGATGTGTTGACAATCCGTTCAGTCTGTACTTCACACAGAGTGTGTGACGTGTGAGGGCTCGCGCTCTTCAGAGACAATCACAGAATATGACAGAGCTCGTGTTTTAAAGCGAAACACACTGGAATGAATAATTCACTTAAAACGCAACGCGAGTCTCTATTCTCTCTGCAATCTCTGATGTAATCAGCCTGGTTTCCTTTATATTAGCACGGTTTTGGACGGATTGTTTGAATGCATTCGCTTACTGGATCATTGGACTGAAAACTTTCCCGGAGTTTAGCAGCTTAAAATGATCTAATCGCAAGCAGAGAAGCAAAATTGTGTTAAAGGGTTAGAATAGAAATTGTGCTTTAGTAATTTTGCGTTAATTGCATTAAATTATTTTAACGCGTTAAGGATTGTAAAATTAATAATGCATTAACGATGACAGCCCTAATCATAATATTATTATAGTTTTGTTTTATATTATCTCTATTTGTGCATTATTATGCAAGAAAAATCAAGCAAAAAGAGGCACCTGAAAAGAGGATGTGGGATTGATGTTAACTCTGGCTTGCCTCCAACGGTCTCCTTGGTTCCCACTCAGGGTCCACACGGATGTATCCTGACCCATCTGGCTCTTCTGCCTCAAATACACATTTAATGTTCCTGGAAAAAGGCAGATGCACTCAGTGTCAGTAGAAATCCTTATGCGCAATATGGCCAGTTAACTACATGTCTTTTGAACCCTTCCTCTGTGTTACATAGCAACTGCAAGGTTCAGTGACCTCATCTCATCTTCATCTCCAGCAAAAATCAATCATAAAACTGTACACAACACAATCACTGCTGGTGTTACATATATGGCACGTAATTGCTACACTCTAATTTTACACTGATGAAAGGAAAAGTAGGAAGAAAATCTGTATTACTCTCTCAGATGTTTGGGATTCGGCCAAATGGTATGTTCATTTCTTTGCAAATGAGGAGACAATGAGACTAGTGCTACAGAGATGTGATGCTATTAATGCTAAAATAACCTTTCTGGAGAAAAAAACCCTTTAACCAGAATGGAACATTAAAACAACACACAAAAAACCTCGTTGCTACTTTGTTCTTCTTTAACGATGTAATTTTTTTTTTGCTCATTAAAACGTTTTACACATCAAAAAAATGAATAGTACTTTTAAAAATGAGATACGGACTCTAGGGATATCAGTACTCGAATAACTTTTTGAGATTTCATGAACAGCTAAATGGCTGACTGTAAATACTGCATTTATAGGATATCATCTGTAACTGATAACATTTGCATGATGCTGCATCCACACCACTAGGTGTCATGTAAGTCAAAGAGGACTGGAATATAGGCTAGAGCAACATACATAACAATCGATTTTAGTGCACCTTTAAAAGCACTTGGGTAGGTTTTTATATCAAAACAGCCATCTAACCATGTTGTCTCGGCTCTTTGCTGTGCAGCCAGACAGAAGATCTTGTTGGGCACATGGATTTTTAACCCCAGATGCCCGATGAGACTACGTGTCAAAAGCCAGGAAGAGAACACCCTGGTGAGTTGGAATTAGCCCCACGCTTTCTATTCTAAAAGCACACAGCTTTGTGAAGCAGAAAATTGCAGTTACAAGCTTGTTTGAGGGGCTGTGGAGGTCATCACTACCTCAGAAGTGCAACTGCATGTCCAGCTCAACTGCAACAGCATAAAGTGAGCATGAAAAAAGGAACTATAGAAATGTATCCATATAGCACAAATTGAGTTATTGGTCTAAATCATTTACAGCACTTACAGTCCACTAGAAACCTTTAATAGCAAGGTTTTCCATCCCAGAAAAGGCCAAAGTGTACTCTGCAATTTTCTGACTAGCATGTTAACGCATAAATATGGCCATTTCTGTCACAGAGTAAAAAATTAAATATAAAAAAATAAATTCAGGTAAAGTTTAAAATAGGAAAAAAGTTGCAATGTGATATATAAAGTCACAATAAGATATAATAAATAAATTGGCAATTTTGACATATAAAGTCGAAATTATAATCCTATTAAAATCCAGTTTTGAAGATGAAACTGTGAGATTAAAAGTCAGAACTATGGGAAATAAAGTAGCAACTGCAAGATAGATTTATATGGAAGCCTGTTTCCATCTAATAATGTAAAATAGAACCTAAAAACATAAATCAGGAAATCCTTAGATAATGTTTAAAATTGGAAAATTATAAAGATTTTGAGATACAAGTCACATTTGTAACATCACATTTACAAGATATCACAATTGTGAGATATTTAAGTTGCATCTGTGACAATGTTGTTATAGATATAAAGCTGCACTTGTGACACATAAAAATCATATTTATGAGAAATAATCAAACTCTGAGAAAAGTCAACCCAAATTCGATGAATGTAATATTCAATAAACCTTATAGGATTTGAAAACATTTGTATATTCATTCATACAGTACATAAAAAGTAAAAAAAAAGCTGTTCTTATTAGAAGCTGATATTTTATACATATCTAACCGGAAAGAAGTTCTACCATGACAACACTAGGAAGATTTTAGCATGGCAATGGATATTACAATGTTAATGTATTTGGTCTTGGTGGAATAGACCTGCTACGCTGCTTTTGAATTGCTGCTGCTGTTGGTTATTAGTGTTGTTGTAGATTATTGCTGCTGCTGTAAAGCAAGTACAGGAACTTGCTACTGCCAATACATACAGTATGCTGATTCAGTGCTGTGTGTGTGTGTAAGACATACTGCTGCTGCACAAACAGCATATATAATAATATACAGTAGATCTACACAGGTGGAGCTGGGGAAGGTGGAGGGTGTCAGAGTAACTGCTAACCAGCCATTTAAAGGTAGAGCAGCAAGCTCATTGGCTGCGTATGCAACATGAACCAATCAGCTGTGCCAAGTAGTTTAGTGCTGTGAATATCATCAATTTGCGTTAACGACCCATCAGCCTGTGCCATCTAGAGTTTCATGACAGAACTTGGCATTTAGACATATCATCTTTTTTCATCTTGAAATCTAGAAAATGAGAGTGTTTTTGTATGTGCCTGACACTGACTGTGTCGCTGACTGACCAGGCCATCAAGCTCTCATTAGAAAAGTAAAGCTATGTCAAACAGACTATAGTTGTAGAGGTTACAGCTGGCTGCACATCAACACTAATTAGAAGGCACTATTAAAACAAATCATTTGCATACATTCCCCACAGCTGATCACATCAGGACTCTTCACGATGTACTGTGCTACAGTAACCCACCTATATGTTTCCCATACATGTGGTAGTAGAAGCTGAAGCAGTATGTTGGGTTGGTGGCCACATTCCCGTAGGGGTTTTTAGGGGCAATGTTGAAGGATGGAGTCAACAGTCGTGCTTTGTCTCCCTCCAGACGTGGTCGTGAGGTCTCAATGTACATGTAGAAACCTGTACAAAGTGCACAAGTACATAAAAATGCACTGATCATGGTAGCTCTCACACTACTGTTCAAAATTTTGAGGTTGGTAAGAATTTTTAATGTTTTTGAAAGTCTCTTATGCTCTCCATGGCTGCATTTATGTAGAAAATATTGTAAAAACAGGAATATTGTGGAATACTATTACAATTTAAAATAAGTGTTTGTTTTCTATTTTAATATATTTTAAAATGTAAATTATCCCTGTAATGGCAAAAAACATACATTAAAAAAGGCATACTAACCCCAAACATTTAAACAGTAGTGTATACATACATCAGATCCAGAGAATGAATTGAATTAGGCACATTAATTATAATTGTGTAGCATCAATATCATACAGCGGCTCAAATCAGCTAATTTATCAGGCTATAAGTTCTCCAAGCCTCAATACTCCTCCACTGAACTCTGCACTGACTATAAATAATCAATAGGATCTCAGTGACTTTATAGTACAGGACAAATGATTTTTCAATTCACATTTCTCATAGCCTTTTAAACGACAGATTTTGTTCTTTTCATATCAGGTCAGAGTGACTTAAGGTGCTATTGACCGGGGTATTTTTTTTTTCCACAAGTCAAGCCCTGGAACATCCATTCATTGAAATATTAACAAAGTGCTACATGAATAAGTCCTAAAACCCAGAAACAAGCTTTTAAAAATGCAATTGCTATCAAGTGGCTAAATGGGACAACAGAGATTGTCAGAGACATTAAACATCATGATGCCAAAAAAGCAAGCTCATATACTCACTTAGTTCATGTTTACAGCCTTGTTGTGGTTATACTTGGCCTCTTCCAATCTATTCTAACTCAAACTTTCTAATTTGTAGATTTAAAGAGTTGTCGGAAGCTTAATGGAGGTGATATTTAAGTCATGCTAGTTCATTTATAGCCTAACATTAGCTTTTTACTTCTGGCGATCATATTTAGGCTTCAAAATTCATTAAATGTTTTATGTTTAGTCATAAAAGTGTTTATTTGTGAAGACTGCCTTGATGAACAAAACATGTAAGAATCACAAACTTTGTTGATTATTTTCTGCAATAATCCAAAAGTCAAAAATCCTACTGGCTTTTTGTTGTGTGATGCTAACTTCTGGGAAAGCTTGCAAAAATGACATCATCCCTACAGCACTCTCTATATAAAACCCACTTCAATATATAGATTAAATAAGCAGTGTACCATTTTTTTTCCTCCTGAACTTATGACTTGCATTTTCAAGTTTCCACTACTTTACCAAAGTACTAGACAACCTGATTGCATTAGTGATGTGTTGACCCAAAGAAATTATCCAGTTGCACACCGGCGCTGTCATGAACCGATGTCAAGTTTAATGACTGACACCATTTCTCTGAAAGTGCAGCTAATGGAACCCACTGAGCATTTTCTCCTAAATGGTGTCCAATCAAAAGCCAGCCCATGCACTCCTTTAGCAACATGAGAAATTGAAAGTGCCTTTGGACGCTAATGCTATTAGCCCCTCTCTACAAGTCACAAGCCTTTACTTTGCTGAAGATATATCTTTTTACTCAACATCCACCCACACTGATGAATGACAATTCATTCATTTATTTGTGAATATTTTAATTATGTGATGTACGATAGTGGTGTAGTCCTAAATCTACATATATTTAACACTAGAACCGTCACGGGGTAAATTTTACCCTTGGCTGTTTTTCAAATGTACATAACAGATTTTCAATAAAACATTCAAGTCTCCCAGTCACTGACTTTTACTAAAATTGTGTAATTAACAATCCCCTGTTGTTAAAAACTGTTTAGATAAAACCAGATCAAAAAACATTTATACCTATAAGCGCCAGCGGGTCAAATTTACCCACTATATAATGCCTATATTTTCACGCAGTCATTTTCTTGTCGCTTATGTTTTAACATTGTACATTGCTAGGCGACGCATTTCACTCACTGAATTAGCGGTTATCAGTTTCATAAATAAAGTCAAAATGAGTAAAAGGCGGCGATTCATGGATGCCGAAGAGGTATTATTGTATTATCGTTTATTGTTTGCTTCTGTGTTGCTATTTATTCTAGTCTGCCTGTTTCCTGAAAAAAAAAAACATCCGATCTATGATGTAATGAATAAAACCTTTTTTTTTTGATTACCCAAAGTTTACTGGTGTTGTTCTCTAATTCAAAATTATAAATGATATAACTAAACAAATTAATAATTAATTAGGTGAAGCTGTGCGCTTAGAGTGTACCTATAAGCGCCAGCGCGGGTCAAATTTACCCGCTATATAATGCCTGTATGTTCGCGCTGTCATTTTCTTGCCTCTTATGTTTTAACATCGCTTTTCACTCACTGAATTAGCGGTTATCAGTTTCATAAATAAAGACAAAATGAGTAAAAGAAGGCGATTTATGAATGCTGAAGAGGTATAAGAAGCACTAAATGCCATGAGCAATGGAGAGTCTGATGGTGGGGAGATAAGTAAAGCGCCCTGTCGGCTCAGCATCTTTGATGGCCATCAATCATGTTTAGACGTTTCATCCTAATGTTACTCATAATTGTTCAAAATTTGGATTAATTATTTAACTTTTGTTTTGCCATTTCTATCGTTTATTGTTTGCTTCTGTGTTGCTATTTATTCTAGTCTGCCTGTTTCCTGAAAAAAAAAAACATCCGATCTATGATGTAATGAATAAAACCTTTTTTTTTTGATTACCCAAAGTTTACTGGTGTTGTTCTCTAATTCAAAATTATAAATGATATAACTAAACAAATTAATAATTAATTAGGTGAAGCTGTGCGCTTGAATTTGTCATCGCATCATCCTATGCAATGTGGTGAATTA